CACCTAGGTACGCTGTTGTCCGAAGCATGTCTGTTCATTGATCATTCGCTTTATTGATATCTTTTTCCGACAATTCTTGCTGTTCTAATGTTCCTCACAGATGACGAAAATGATGAAGCAGAAAAGATCGCAAAAAGACTCCGTTCAACTTATGAGCGTAAGACTTTCTCTTTCGTAATACTTGCTTGCTTCACCGTTCTCATTATATGTATTCTTTCACTCTATTGAATTAGGTAATATGAAATTACCACGTATGGAAGTTAAAGTGAAGATGCAAAGGGCCATTGAGCGTATGTGCAAAATTTTCATTATTTTTGCTTTCATGAATAATATAAGCTAACGTTGAGCTCACTTCCAATATTACAATAGATGAAGGTGCTGTTATTCATACAACCCACAATGATGGAGGCCTTCCTCTCAGTCTAGGAATATTTAAAGAAATTGTGAATCGTGGCTATACGTTTGTTGACAAGACACTCCTAATTGCTGACTTTCTCAGAAGTAAAACAGATGTATCCCTTATTCTACGACCCAGACGATTTGGAAAGTCAACAAACCTCACGATGCTCAGGGATTTCTTTGCTTTCCCTGTTCATCCTGACTCTTTGGAGCTCCGAAAAGAACTTTTCAAAGAAACTAAGATTCTGAAGGTAGAAGCAGACCTGTGTGCTGAACACTTTTGCAAATTTCCAGTTTTATACCTGTCTTTTAAGGTAGGGCACTTGATATTCTTGGTTCATCTGTCACTCAGCTGTTAACTCATCTTTTCTGCATGCATGATAGGATATTTATGGCCAAAACTGGGAAGAGATGCAGAGAGTCCTTTGTCAATTTTTTGCAGATCTGTATGCAGATTACATTTATGTCACAGAAGCACTCACCACACAAGAGAAAACAGAATTTCATGACATATTTTTTCGAAAAGTAGCAATAGACCCAAAAACTGTTCTTTTTAAACTCACCAAATACCTGAAAACTTATACAAACATGCAGCTTAAAAACAGTAACAAGTGTATCATATTAATTGATGAATATGATTGTCCTATGAATAATGCCTACCAAAATGGTTACTTTAAAGAAGCCAATGCCTTCTTTGGCACTTTATATTCATCTCTTCTTAAGGTGAGAGCTATCACTATTGAGGTGGTACATGGTAATGATGCTAACAAATACCTTCGAAATAGGACAATGAGAACATTTCCAAGGCTCTCCTCATTGGTGTAAACCATGTGGCAAAATCTGGTTTCTTGTCAGGATTAAATAACTTGGTTGTCTATCCCATGCATTCAAGTGAGTATGCTGACATGTTTGGGTTCACCAAGAATGAAGTTACTGCCATCCTTGATTATGCCAATCAGAAAGAGCAACTGAATGATGTTAAAAATTGGTATGATGGTTACATTGCTGGGAGGGACACCAAGCTTTACAATCCCTGGTCAATTGCAATGTTTGTCAATAAGAAGGAACTTGGTCCACACTGGGTAGATACTGGTAAGTTTTGCATCATTGGGTTTTGGCTGCATTTGTTAAATATAAATTTATTAAGTTTTGGCCTTTCAAAATGCTCTAGGGGGCACTGGCATTATACAGAAACTGTTTCGTAATGCAACAGAGGACTTCAGGATGAAGGCTTTGGAGTTGCTTGATAGTAAGACAGTCCTCACTACTCTTTGTGATGACATTCAGTATCATGAACTAGAGTCTGGTAATGATCAGAGTTTGTGGACATATCTGTACTTTGGAGGCTATCTTACAGGGACCCATGCACTAGATCAGATGCACCTGACAATTCCAAACATTGAAGTGAGGACTCAATGGCTACAATGGTTAGAAAATCCCAAATTTCCAACTTCCAGATCACTCTTTATGATGCTATTGGATGGTCAGCTTGACAAATATAGCAAGGAGCTCCCGAAGTATGTCATGGAGACATTTTCATATTTTGACCTATCAACATCAACAACAGAGAAATACTACCATATTTTCTCAGTTGGGTTATTGGCTGATGCCAAATCCCTCATGTTGGAAATAATGTCAAACAGAGAATCAGGCATTGGCCGTTATGACATTGGCATCCGGCCAACACACATGTCCCATCACAAGACAGCATTAATTATTGAGCATAAGGCAACTGATGACCCTGACCAACTAGAGAAATTGGCTGATGGTGGGATTTGGCAAATTCATGACAATAAATATCACACTAATTTGACCACTGGGACTCCCACTCAAAAGATTGTAGAAGTCACAATTGTCTGGTGTGGGAAAATGTGTTATGTAAAGGGTCAAGTTTCTGAGTGGAAAAATGGACAATGGGTACTTACAATGACAGCAGCAACACCAC